CCCCCCCCCCTCCTCCGCCCTCTTTTTCGTGTTGGAGCGATGCTGCAGGCGGGCCCGCCGCGCCGCGCCGCCCTTGAAGGGAAGGTGCAGGTCCTTCGGGTCCTTGCACCCGGGCGGGGCCCTCCTGCAGACCATTATGATAATCGGAGAGACACACTGGTCCTGCTCACATCCTGTCCCCGCTGCTCCCGCCGACCAGGCCGGTCGATGGTGTGTCGCTCTAGGCGGGACAGCCAGGGACGCCTCTTCTCTCCTCTGCGTCTGCGTGCCTCATCTCCCGGGCTGGACCGCGAGCCGAGCCGTGATCTGGGGCCGCCGGGGCCGCGGCTGCGGCCGGGACGACGGAGCGGGACACTGGCCTCCTGTCTGAACGGACCGCGGACCGCGCCGCCGCGGTCGTTTTGCGGCAGTCGGACGATGCGCGCGCGCGGGACGTGGCGGGGTGCAGAGGGGGATGGTCGGAGAGGGGAAATGAGGGTCTCCGCGACAGGGACGTCTCCGCGAGTCGTTACTGCTGCCCGGCCTGTGAGCCCCGGCGAGGCCAAGAGCCCCGCGTCGTCGTCGTCGCGCTGTCGTGGCGCTGCCGCTAGGCCGGGCCGGGCGCGCGGATGGTTGGCCTGGACGCGCTGTGCCCGTCGCGGTAATGGCCTGTTTGTCGGCGTGCTGTGCGCCTCGCCGCGCCGCCGCCGCAGACGGAGCTTTGGCCGTTCGCCGGTCCAGGCTGCTCCTTCTCTACCCACCCGTGAGAATTGTGCGTGCCGCGTCCCTTTGTATGGGGCTTAACGACCGGCCTGTTGTTCTGTGCTGCCCCCCTCGGGGTGCCTGCCTGCCTGCCGCCTGTCCTGTCACACCCGTCACGAGGAGAAACTTTGCCGATGCCTCATCAGTTTGCGCTAAATGTTCGAATGGTCGTTGCGGGGTCTGCCTGCCCGTGGGATGTGGGCTGGCCGTTGCAGGGCGCTGGGGCCGACTGGGTTGGTCGTTAGGGGACCGACTGGGCTGGTCGTTGGGTGACCGCGACTGGGCTGGTCGTTGGGTGACCGCGACTGGGCTAAGTGCGCTGATCAGCGCTGGTCGTTGGGGACTGACTCTACTGCACCCGGAGCAGCCTCGCTCTCTTTAGGCGTTGGCCAACGGCCGCCGTCGGTCGGCGTAATTTGCCAATGAGCTGCACTCAGCGTTGGGTCCTGGCGGGTGCTGCTGGGCAGGCCAGTGGTCGGTCCGGCCGGGCCCTGCCCGAGCAGGTGCGGGAAAGGCTGCAGTAGTAGTGGTATCATGTGGATTATAAAACCACGGCGGTCTCCACTCCACTGTGAAAACAATACCGCACTTTTTCTGTGGCCATTTTTCAATCAAGGCATTCTGCTTTCTAACAGGTTCGTTAAGTTGGCTGTGTTTTCAAGCCAGCTTTTTCTTGTTGTTTTTTTTTTTTAGGGAGGGCTCAGAGCTCAGAAAATTCGTTAAATAACTTCGAACGGTGGTGACGAGTTGGTTGATGCAAATAATAATAATTATACCAACTATAAGGCAGAGTGGGTCTTGAGCAACCACTACTGCAGTAGCAACTTGTTTGCCATTGCGCTGCGTTGGGCTTATCACTGCTCGGTTAAATACCATCGCCCCCCTCTTCCCTTTTCAACCTCTCTCTGCTCGACTCACTATTCGCTCTCTTTATGCAGGGCCTGCTTCCTGCGCGTTGCGCGTGTACCCCCACCAGCCGGAAAGGCTCTCCAGCTGGGCGAAAACCTGTCATTGGGTTTTTATTTTCCCCTGGCCAGCCTGGGCTGGGCGGTGGTGGTCCGGCGGGGCAGGGCAGGGCAGGGCGTCAGGGCTGGGCGGGTCCGGTGGCCAGCAGCAGGTTTATGGGGGAAATGGACAGGAAATCAAAGCAGTCCTCGGCAGCTGGCCGGCGGGGGGCATGTCGTCCTCTTGCCCGGGTGGCGCTCGCTGGCTCTCGCGAGGAGAGAGATTTTCACCGAGAAAACGAGAGGGACGATGCTCCTTCTGGCTCGCAAGGACGCAAAGGCTGTGCGGTGCACCACCCAGACCAATCCCAGCAGTAGTAATGTAATATTATTTTCTTATATTTTTTTTTCGACGGATTAACAACCTTCCGTTGCATCACTTCTGGTGATGGACGGCCCAAGGCGAGCCGATTCGTCAGCCCTAGTTGCTGCATCACTCTCCTTGCGTGGGCGAGTCGAGCCGGGCCCCTGGGCGAGTCATGTCGAGGTATTGAAGTGACGGCGGGGCGGGGTGGGCTGGGGCGGAGTGGGGCGGCTCCCGCGCGGATCGAGATGGAATTCCCTCTCTCCCCGCGGCCGGCGAGGCTCACAGGCGTTCACAAGGCGCCGCTTGTCCGATCTTCTCGCCCCGCAGGGTGAGTCTGCCCTGTCCGTGACGGCCAGACCTCCCCCCTCCCCCGATCCTCTTTCCCCATTTCTCTTCCCAGTCCGGGCCGTTCGCGTACGTGGGTCCGCGCCCCGGCCCCTGACCGCGGGCCTTCGGGGGGTCCTTAGGGGTCAGGGCCAAGCTCTAAGCGCCCGGCCACCCGCGGTCTAGGTGCCCGCGAGCGCGAGCGCACTGACTTCGAGCCAGTCCGTCTGCGCCGTCTACTGCGAGACTCGATTTACTTGAGCGGTTTGCGAGGCGTCAAGTCAAGTGCACTCTTTATTATTGTAAGTCCGCGAGGACGAGGAGGTTTGGCACACGCGCGTTTGTTGTGATGTTCTGTACACTCCCTTCCCCTTACCTAATGCCGTTCGAAAGTGAAAGGCCAGGTTGGACAGCCTCCCCCCCCCCTCCCCCCACAGGCCCGTCTACTATGGACCCTGGCCTTGGGGAAGGGGGGGGGGACCGGCTGAGTTCGGTCCTGTGATCGCCTCAGCGTGAGTGGACCTGGGGACCCTTGCCCCGCCCGCCCCGCCCCGCCCCACCCCGTCCATTCTCAGTGCCCATGATCTTTGTCTCAATTTTGGCTGTCTTTGTGTTTCAGAGGGGCGAGTGGAAGTGTCTCGAGATGGCAAGTACCTGTCGACGATGGCCCCCGGGAAGCTGTTTGGGGAGCTGGCCATCCTCTACAACTGCAAGAGGACGGCCACCATAAAGGGTAAGCTGAATCTCACAATGTGTCATTTGTTTACTTTTCTTTAATTACACCATCGCGAATTTTGCCGTCTCTAAATAACGCCGAATTATGCTTCTTTAGCTGCTACCGACTGCAAGTTATGGGCCATCGAACGGCAGTGCTTCCAAACCATCATGATGAGGACTGGGCTCACCAGGCAGGCCGAGTACACGGATTTCCTCAAAAGGTACTGTATTGAAAATAGTTACTTTCTTTTACCAAACTTCATAAGTATTCATTTAAATTACTGTATGGAATACGAGAATTCTTTTCTTTAAATGTCTGTTTGGTGGCCCCCCTTTTTTCCCCGCCTACGTATTGCCGTTATGGGGCTCGGTTTGCATCTCATTAAATCAACACAACAACAGATTTTTTGGTAACTCTTAGGGCTCTGCGGGCAGAGCCAATAAGTTAATTTGCTATAACTTTACGCCCCCATGTGAACCGGGACAAGTTCTGCAACGTAACAAATCGAAGCGAAATTTGAGTTACGGTGTAGTAACTTAACGTAAACTGGCGTTGTAACACAAAATTGAGTCAAGTAACGGAGTTACGGATCTCTGCCAATGACAGATGTCAACGCAAGCATGCTTGGCACCATGGCCCCTGTGGGGTAGGCACGCCCGTTGCGCTCAGGTGCCGCGCGGGGTGGCCTACCCCAGCGGCTGCAGGGGCCCCTTTATCACAAGCCGTGCGGCAGCTCTTTGAGCAGCCCCGTGCGATGAGGCGCTCCCCCGCTCCCCGGGGTCTGTCAACGCCAATGCGTGATTTATTATTTTTTGTATGCTAATAATTTTATTTATTTTACAGTGTGCCTATCTTCAAAAATTTACCAGAAGAGACACTTATTAAAATTTCAGATTCATTAGATGAGGTAGGTAACACATGTTTTGTGATATTTTTGTTAATTTTCTTTGGTCTATTTAGTGAACTACAGTAACTTTTTAAATGTTTTCCTAGACTTACTACAATGCTGGAGACTACATCATCCGCCAAGGAGCACGAGGAGACACATTTTTCATCATTAGTAAAGGACGGGTATGTACCCACCCCTATTTGGGATGATGTGGGTATGATGCACACTGATATTCATTTGTTCAATAATTTTCTTTAACAGGTGAAAGTGACAATTAAACAACCAACAGTAACAGAAGAGAAGTACATCAGGACACTCACAAAAGGTGACTTTTTTGGAGAGAAGGCACTACAAGGGTTAGTATTTCTCAGAGTTTGTTTTTTAGTCATTACTTCATTCTTTCTATTCACAATAAGAAGAGGGCAATAACCACTTTCTATTTTATCTCTGGACAGGGATGACCTTAGGACTGCTAACATAGTTGCTGATGATCCCGATGGTGTATGTTGCTTGGTCATTGATCGTGAAACATTTAATCAACTTATATCTAGCTTGGACGAGATCCGCACCCGGTACAGAGATGAAAATGTGGAAAGAAGGAGGTAAGATTACAGTTATAAAAAATAACTCAGATCAATTAATTTAAGCCTTTCTTCATCATTTTAATGTAAGTTTACGTTTTGTCTGATTTGCTTGCATTTAAAAAATTAAAAGAAAGGAAAATATGAAAGTAAGTCTTAGTACTTGTTAGTCGGAAATTTCTACATAAGTTTATATTATATACAGAGTACAGGGTTTCAAATTTAATTGTAGACTGTCTCACTGAAGAAAAGTTTCTCTCAGTTTCTTATGTTGTTTCTTTCCTGCTGTAGAATAAATGAAGAGTTTGAAGCAGTCCGACTAACTGATCTTCGTGTCCTTGCTACTCTGGGAGTTGGTGGTTTTGGCCGTGTTGAGCTGGTGCAGATTCAAGGTGATGGCAATCGCTCCTTTGCCTTAAAACAAATGAAAAAGAGTCAGGTAAAAATAATCTAATCTATTATGATAACACCTACAAACATTGGAAGAATTTTGGGGGTGAATACAGTTAGCTTGTTTTGCAGATTGTGGAGACAAGACAGCAACAACACATAATGTCTGAGAAAGAAATAATGGGTGAAGCAGATTGTCCTTTCATTGTTAAACTCTTCAAAACATTCAAGGACCGCAAGTACTTGTACATGTTAATGGAGTCTTGTCTGGGAGGAGAATTGTGGACAATTCTTCGTGACAAAGGACACTTTGATGATTCTACAACTAGATTTTACACTGCGTGTGTTGTGGAAGCGTTTGATTATCTGCACTCTAGGAATATAATATACAGAGATCTGAAACCAGAAAATCTTCTCCTGGATGAAACAGGCTATGTAAAATTAGTTGACTTTGGTTTTGCCAAGAGACTTCAGGTTTGTAACATTCATTGTTAAACTAATTTGAAAAGGACATTTTTTCATAACACTCCTTTACATAGTAACTTCTTGTCTAAAAACAGCATGGGCGCAAGACGTGGACATTCTGTGGTACCCCTGAGTATGTTGCTCCTGAGGTCATCTTGAACCGTGGTCATGACATCAGTGCTGATTATTGGTCACTTGGTGTTCTAATGTTTGAGTTATTGACAGGTATGCAGAATTATTTTCAAAGCGGATTCAGTGCTGAAACTGTTAATATTTTAATTATGTAATTTTTCCACAGGCACTCCACCTTTCACTGGAGCTGACCCAATGAAGACCTACAACATTATTTTGAAAGGTATTGATGCAATTGACTTCCCCCGAAACATTACAAGAAATGCCACTGCTTTAATCAAGAAGCTCTGCAGGTAAAGTAATGGCGTTGAATGCCCTAAACAGATCTGGCAGTGTTAGAATTTATTTTACTCAATGTCTTGAAACTGTATGTTTACTTTAGGGACAATCCTGCTGAACGACTTGGCTATCAGAAAGGAGGCATTAGTGAAATCCAAAAGCATAAGTACGTCTTGTTCTCCTATTATTTGATGATTTTTATTCCTTTCTACTATTGAAATTGAATTTCACCTGATGTATCCTGTTTCAGGTGGTTTGATGGCTTTAACTGGGAGGGCCTACGAAACCACACTCTAAGTCCCCCACTTTTACCAAACGTACACAATGTGACTGATACAAGTAACTTTGACGACTATCCCCCTGATGCCGACCAACCCCCACCAGATGATGTCTCAGGATGGGACAGTGAGTTTTAATATCAAAGGTTAGTTTGACAATTGGTAAACTGCTATTACTAAATAGTCTTTTGAGAAAGTCCTCTTCCTGTACATGATGCTCTTTATTTTAACTCTCTTTAGGTGTAATGGAGTTGCATTCCTTGCCATATTTCTCGCATACTGCAGCATACCTTATCATCCTGTATCCCAATGTAAATAAGTAAGAGGCAGCAGAGATCAAGTCATGTTATCTTATAAAAAAAGGGGGGAGGGGGTGAATCAAGTGTTATGTTGTTTATTAAAAGATGAAACCAAATGATTTTGGAATAATTAGACAAAAAGTCTAACATGAAAAATTCTCATTTTTAACCTTCGAATGCAAAAGAAAAAAACTCCAAGAATTTCTTTATCATGCTCCCCAAAAGTAGGTAGATTCTTTCTTAATTATTGCTTTCATAATCACTACATTGATGTTTCATGCAGTCTACATAGTACTGTATGCCCTCCAGTCTTTGTCTTACCAGTAATTTTTTAAATAAAATCGTATGAATTGTGTAAAAAGTGAAATTTTGAGAGACATGAGTGATATGCTTTGACCTATTATGTTAAAACTCTAAGTAGGTAATTTCATATAGTGAATTTGAACCCCAGAAGTGTTCTCAATCTAATTTGTACTTACAGATATTGTTGATCTTAAATTTTCTTCCTGCTCTTTTTATTTCTGAATAAAGCAGGCAGCAACCATGCTGTATGTTACTGTAGTTCTTGTAATTTTGGAACTGCCTGCCTACATTTTCCATTCTAATTACTGTATATTATTGTTATAAAATGCTGGGAGCATTGTTTCATGTTGTACAGATATCAGCACACTTTGCTGGAAACTTCCTGGTTTAATTTTGATGCAGTAGATTAGTAAGTTACTGTCTACCTAGCCTGGATGTTGAATTAGAGAAATCAGTTACTTCAATATCATAAGTAAAAAGAAAAAGACCAACTTTGAATATTTTTTTATCTAGTCTGAGAAGTCCTAATCAATATGCCGTTTTGTTGTAGAATTCTACATGATATTGTTTGTTATGTTACTTTTTTCATTGAAAGTGTAAACCAGAAATCTGGTGTGTTCATAATGTTGTTGGTAGAGTGTTTTACTAGTGTGGTATGTTCTATGAAATTTTATCCCTATCTGCCAATTATTTAATTAACAGATCATGCCTTAATTGTTTTACATCTAAATGTTTTAGTTATTCTCTCAAATCAAAAATGTATTTTTAAAAATTAATTTTGATCTTGCATGATGTTTGAATGATCTATTAAACACTTGTTTGATGTTCCTCTTGGTCTGTCTTTTAGGCTTGGAAATGATATAACTAGCGAGTCCCATTCTCCACAAAGTCAAATTTTCATAGAGAATCATAAACTTCAGGAAAATTGTGATTTCTCTCTCATGAAATGAATTCTTAATTAACTTACTGTTGCTATTTATTTGTTTTTCTTATCATGTGGTCTTATTACTCTTTTGTAGAAGGGACTGAAGATAAGACTAAAGAGGAGAGGTTTGCAAATCATTTATTTTAAGACGTGCTGCTCCAGCACTGTGATGCTTTTCTTAAGTTATCTGTCTCAGATAAGTACATAGACCTTATTTTACGATAGGTAGTGTTCTGCAAGTGCCATCTTGTGTAGGGCATAAGTGCAGCTCTTTTTGTTGTTATAATGACCTTGGTAAAGACTTCCAGAGCCCACAAAGTGCATGTGAAAGTATGTAAGTGATTTATGTTTTAGTATCAATGTTTTTTTAGGGGTGTCATGCACTCCCAGGTAACAAATTGTTGTTATTGCAATATTCTTGCCATAAAAGAACCATGGATTATTTCTCTATTCCTTTCTTTAAGTCATGTTTAAAAAATAAATGAAAGATTTTGTTACTGTATCGGTGTGGTTGATATTCCTCCCTCTTTCTACCGGAATACCCGTCTGAGCAGGTGCAAACTGCAAAAGGATCGTCTATCAATCGTTTTATTAGATTTATTGGGCAAATTACGGAAGATCGGCGCCTGCGAGACTCGGGGTAGGCCACCCCGCAGTGCACGCATGCACTGCAGGCATGATGCTCTGCCTACCTAACAGGCGCTATAAGAGCTTGTGTGTAGACTTAGAGGCTACACCTTGTACTTTCACCAGGGGCTATGGTGGACGTACTTTCTGGATGATCCCAAAGGAAACCTATCAGAACACTCGGCCTATATAGAATTTATTTTCTTAACACCACGCTTTTGCATTGATTGTCGAAAAGAGGTACTACTAGATTCAGAAAAGATCGGAGCACATACGAGGATTAAGTATTGGGCTCTAAATGAACACATGAACACCTCGAGTATGATTGATCACAATTCTAGCATTGCGAATGTCCGTCCTCAATCCGAATAGGGGATGCCAACGCCCCCCCCCCCCCTTCTGTATTCCTTTTTACAAGGTGGCCAAGGACTGGGGAATTGGCTGTTCTGAGTTTCCACCCCTGGTTCTGTATTGGTTGTGATTTCAACCTTAAGTACTAAGTACTCTAATTTACGGTGATATAGTGATTCAGTAGTTGATTGAAAGAAATGCTTGCGATACCGGGTGGTTTATTTGACTTTGCCCGAACGGTTCCAGACAGAAGCTCTACACAGCGGTTCCCAACCTAGCTGCTAGGCCTACCTATCGACTTTAGAGGGAGCAATGTTGACCTGACCCAGGCTGGAGCTTGCCGACGACTGACGATCTGTGAGCCCGAGGGAGCCCGGCTCGGCCCAGAACAGCAGAGCCGCCGTGGGCCTTGTCAGTCCACCCCGGGATGTACTCGCCAGCCATCGAGCTAGCCTCGCAGCAAGGGTGCCTACCTGAACTAGTCAGGCCGGATCATACCAATTGGGAATCAATTAAATATTCACCTTTACCCGAGCTTCTTTTTGCATAGCTCTGCTCTAGAGCCAGAGTAGAAGCGGCGAGCAGCCAGCCAATCAGCAGCAGGTAGAAGGCGGCGACCATATCACTGAGCCGAAGGGCTCTCCGGGCACGCTCGACGGGTCCAGGTTTATGCAGAAGCAGGTGCAACCAGCGGGTGTCCAAACCAGCCTGCGATACCACCTCAGAATCTTACATTAAAGTCAATTTGATATTTATTTTTGGGAACAGAAACGAAAATGATGTCATTCCGTCCCCAGCCACAAGTTTTACACCTGGAAGACGTCGGTCTAGGTCTACTTTCGGATCACAATATAAACGTCTAAATTCAGTTAGTCAATAATTGCACGAGCAATACTAGGTGGCTCACACTTGAAATTGCAATACCACAAGTGTATCACACTTAAAAGTGTGGGACCACACATGCATCGCACCTACAAGTGCGGGACTACATGTGTGACAGTGTGACACTTGTTTTATTTGCACTTACATTTGCCAGACTGTACCATGCTTGAGTTTCCATATTAACTTTAGACGTCCTCTAGATTTCTAGCCGGGTCTTGGTCTTTAACACTAATTTGAACTAAAAACTGTAGCCGTGCGTGGACCGACCTGATTAAACACGAGCCAAGTCCAGGAGAGCGCGGGGCCGAGCGGGGAGCCGCGGCGGAACAGCACGGGAGCCTCGACGAAGGAGACAAAGCAGCCCTTCATTTGGTACAAGAGGTCGCGTCGGTCCGTACGCAGCACCACAGAACGGTAGAACTCTACAGTCTCCCTGACGTGACGAAACGCATGACAACGTGTGCAGAAACAATAGCTTATAGGCCTACCTTGAACGCCTGCTGCAAGGGGCGTTCCAGATTTAACAAAATTATAGACACTGAAACAATAACGCCCTGAGTCTCACTTCGTGTCCAGCACGGCCGTGTCCCGGTGGGTTACAAGTCCATCGAAAAACTGGGTGACGTCGTTGATGCGCCCCAGGTTTTGGCCCATAGCGCTGACCTGCAGGCGCGGCTCCACGTTCTTGGGGTCGGCCCGTAGCAGGGAGAGCACCACCTGGGGTCGAGAGAGCGACGCGGCGATTCCCAATCAAAAGGAAAAATTATTCTTAACACAATCAGTCGATGCAAAGAAGGTGGCGACATCTTCTCGGCGTCAAAAACAACATCTGTTCCTTTGATTGGGGCCACCTATAAGTGACCATATCACCCGGTCCAGCTACCTGTGGCATCCTCAACTTGAGGCTGGTTGCAAAAAGTTCGCTGGGCGTCTGAATGTCGGCCCGAGGTTGGCGCAGCGTGAGCGTGGTGAGCAGCGTGGACTGGTACGCCGCCGTCACGACGATGGTGGTGCCGAGCAGGATGGGCAGCACGCCGCGGACCGGGGCCGTCTTCGCCCAGCGGCCGGCGACGGGCTGGGTCAGCAGCAGCGCCAGCCCGAGAGCCACCTGCCCGGGGTCCGGCAGCGCGCGGGCCTCCTTCGGGCCGCCTCCCCGCCCCCTTGAACGCACCCGGGTGGCGGCGAACAGCAGCACCCCGACCAGGGGCACGGCCACGAGGAGCGACAGCCACACCTCCTCGCTGAACTCGCCTACCACCGGCATCAGGACGCTGATGGCCTGCCCGAGGAAACATCGCCACGGTAACGTCTCGCACTCACCACCAAGCATTGGATCGAATTCGGGGGTGTAAACGTAGATCTGTACGTTTTCCTGTCTCCCCGTCGCGGGCATGGCGAAGGGACACCTCACCTTTCCAGCCCCACTCGGCACGGTCCAGGAGAAGCACGACAGCTTGCAGAAGGTGACGCCCTCCACGACGCGCAGCCGCGACTCGGTCAGGGTGGACGAGGTGATGGTGAGGTCCGTCTGATGGGTCACGAGCTCGGCGACGTGGTGGCCCAACATCTGCTCGGAGAGAGAGCGTGCTTACAGCGTAAGTATAGCGCTGTGCACCGGACTCTTTTGCAAACAATGGTAAATCCAGACACGAAACATACGTACGTGTTCACTTTCAGTTTGCTGCTTTGACGACGGCACGTCAGAGGTGAAATGAACCTGCAGCCGACAAGGAAGGGTCCAGTACACATTTGTCGTTTCTTACCTTGCCTAGTCCTTATTGGCCACCGATAGGCCACTCTACCTGCGGTACGAAGTTCAATCGTTGCGCCAGCACATTGACGAAGGCACCCAGCGTACCGCCCATGTGGACATGGCAGGGCGGCGATCTACACGAGCGGTTCGTTACTTTACATTTTTCATTTTTCTGGGTGCTAGGGGAGAATGCGACCGCGTCGTACGCAGCACGCAGCCGTCACTCACCCCGGTTCCGGTGGCCCCGGTGGCGTCGCGCACGGGCCCAGGCCCTTGAGAGCCGGGTCCAGGGGGTGGCGCGAGTGCGGGCCGGACGTCCTCTCGATCATGGCCCAGGGCGGCACGTGCACGGCCGTGATCCGCACCGGGCAGCCGTCCAGGTTCAGAGCGACCAGGTCCTTGAAAAAGTGCAGCCGCTCCCGTCGGTTGGCGCGGCGGTCGCAGTCTCGCGGGCAGGAGTGGAGCAGGCTGACGGGCTGCGTCACCTGGCGACTGTCTAGACAGGCAGGGTCCAGGGGCTGCTCGTAGCCGTACACGTCGAGACGCCCCACGAGCCCCTGGTCGCCGAGACCGTCGCGGCCCTTCGGGCGCCGCCCCGTGACCGTGTCCGTGGACGGCAAGAGCGGGCGGCGATGCGGTGCGTATTGCCTCGGCACCGTCGTGTTGTCCGCCGTCGCCTCGGCCCTCGGCACGGCCAGCACCAGGCGCCATCGGTTGGCCCGCCACGCCTCCTCCATTAGCGCGTTCAGCAGCACGGAGTGCCTCATACTCGCCGGCAACAATCTCGTCACCACCCACACCACCACCTGCTGGTCGAAATCGTGTTTCTCATTTTAGAACGGCAAGGGCGAGGCTGCGTATTTGTGCTCTGGTCAGCGAGGGTGAGACCGCCTGCGAAGGAATGGGGCGGCGTGCCACAACGCTCTCGTGAAGTACTGGTAGCCTATCTAGCCCCTGCTTGCTCGAGGAGGGCGCCTGCGAAAAATAGGAAGGGGCGGCAGCCAGCCGCGCACCCGTGGAGAATTTGTGGCCCACCCTGTCCCATCCTAATATGTCACCGGCCTGCTCGGAGCCATACAGAGCAACAATGTAGTTTGGGACGATAAAAATGAAATTTTCTCTAGGTTCATTCTCTCAGGGTTCGCGCGGAAATCATTGACACGTACTGGCAGACACGAAGAGCCTCAACGTCACCCTGTCCTGTCACACCATCTGGACAACGCTGTACTGCACCTTGGTCCACGCGGAGCTCGCCGAGAGACGTCTGAGCCCTCGGTTCAGTGAGACAACTGGAAGTTCGTCGTCCAAAAAGACCAGGAGGGACTCCACGGTCGACGGCCCGCCACAGTTTGGAAGGGTTAACGGCGTGTTGCCGTCATCCTGCGAGCACGACATGCCGACTTTGCTATAACCCTTGACACCAAGAACCGAAGGAGGCCAAGATAAGCAAGACTCACGATCACGATGCGCCAGGGGATGGTCAGGCGTCGCAGCAGGCGGTTCATCCAGTCGTCATCGTTGATGTAGTCGGACCTGGAGACGACGACGCTCAGGTAGGCTGGCAGGGCGTCCGTCGGGTCGTCGACGAGGGCCGCCCCGACCAGCCAATTGAAGCAGGCCTCGAAGTCATCGTACTCGGACGGGAGGCGCCCCGGCAGCGGCGGCCAGCCCTCCTGCGAGCCGAGGACGGTTTGTAGCATCCGGACGTCTGGAAGTGCCGGCCGCGGAAACCGGAAGCCTACCGAAAGTGCAGCCGCATACAGCAGGAGCAGACACAAGACGGACGTATGCATCCCTGCCCAAGAAAAGCGGAACCGTGTTGGCCGACGCCGCAGACGAGCCTCTTTGCGCCGTGTGGGGCCTCACAGGTGGGTTTGCCGTCGCACGCGGTAATCGACGCCCGTCACCGAGCCCGTCACCGAGCCCGTCACGCGTCGCCCCGCCGAAGTGACACGGAGCAAACGACCCCACGCACGGACAAGTGGCGCTCCGAGTAGACGGCGGCTGCGATCGAAGCCTCACCCAGGCCCGAACCCCTGCTGGTAACGATTATTTGCGCTACTCATATTGAAGGGCGTGATTTGCACCACAAGTCGACATACCAATGCGAAAGCTTCTAGTACACCGTTGATGATGCTGTTCTTAAGTGCGGCGAACATCAAACCCCCGTCCCGTCTTGAAAACGAACCGAACGCCGGGCCTGCTGTCTATATGAGTAATGTTACCAAAACTTGCGAGGTGAGGAGGCTATACATTGCAATGCAGGAAAGGGGTTATGGAAATAATTAACGACGTGTTTGAGCATGTTGTTTATTTTAGCGGACGGAGTGTGATGATAACTTTGGTGAGGTCAGACAAGCCGGGTCTAGTAGACGATCTTGTAGCCGTGCTGCTCGACGGGCTCGGCGTGCACGGCCACATTGTAGCCGGACACGTAGGAGTGGGCGGCGGGCACGGAGTAGGCGACGGGGGCGGCGGCCACGGCCACGGGGGCGGCGGCCACGGCGGGGGCGGAGTAGGCGATGGGGGCAGAGTAGGCGATGGGTCCGGCGTTGATCAGACCGCCGTAGTGGGCGGGGACGGCGGAGTAGGCCAGAAGGCCGGGGGCGGGCTTGGCGGCGGCGACGGCCAGCACGGCGGCGAGGACGACCTGGAAACGATCACGAAGGGCACGACGTTAGAAACCCGCGGCATTCGAACACACACACGATCACTCGCATCGACTGCTCGTTGGACGCATTTCACACCCTTCAGTCCTAGTTGTTAAGAGACACTCACAAGCTTGTACATGGTGATGGTTGGTTTTGCCTTCGGGGGACGAACTGCAAATGTGCTTGGTCCAGACCCGCCCGCCACTTTTATACGTCTGGAGCCCCACCCGCCTCCCCCGTCCGCTCT